CACACACACACACACACACACACACACGTGTGCCCTCTTCTCCTTCCTTGCCCAGCAAACTCTTATGTTACATCAGCATATAAAACCCTCTAATGACAAAATCTGGAAAATATGACTCCTGACAATTTGCCCCACTTTCTGGACCAGATCTAGGTCATAGCTAGTGTGGGCACGGGGAAGTGAAGAGAAAATCACATCTTCTGAGTTCCGGCCCTGATGGGCATCGTGTGGGCATTTTCTTGTCTTGACTTCTCAGAACCAGCCTGGGGAGAAGGCTCTTATTATTCTCATTTCAATTTACAGAAGAACCCGAGGTTAGGCCAGTGGGAGGACTTGCCCAAGGTCACGGAGCTGGAGCTGAGGTTCTTTCTGCATCGAGGGCCAGAAAGCCCACAGGCTCCAGGAGCAGCTGTGATCTCCTGGTCTGAGGGGCAGAGATTCACGGCTGCTGATCCTTCTTCTCTCGCTGGGTGACAGATAGTCCAGGAGAAGGAAATGGCACCACCTAAGAAGTACTCAGTCAAACCCCCCAGGGACCTGAGCAGCAGGTTTGAGCAGGAGCAGGAGATGAAGAAACAGGAGGAGATCAAAGCTGAGAAGGAGAGGCGGCTGAGGGAGGAGGAGGCACGCCGCCAGGTGGGTCCACTGTCCTCAGCCCTCTCGAGGGGGGCTAGGAGTTCTAGGAACGGGAAAGTCACAGGTCATGGAAGGGATGTGTTTATGGACCCCCCAGGTACCAAATCCCCTCCTCCACCCCTCAACCATCCCCACCTCTGCCTGGCCATGTAGAAATCTCCCCCTAGTGGTCAGCCAGCGTTGGGTGATAGATTTCTAATGTCAGAGAGCCCTGCTGCCTGAGGCAACCCATTTTATGTGGGCAGCTCTGGTGTTCACCTCATTCCAGACTCTTCCACTGAAGACTTACCTACATACACTCTCCCAACCACCCTCCCAACCATCCTCGCATCTCTCCTTCCAACATCCACCCTCCCAGCTGTCCTCCCATCCATCCACCCACCCATCCCCCATCCTCTCATCTCTCCTTCTGTCCATCCACACTCCCACCCTCCCATCTACCCTCTTTTCCTCCCTCCCTTCGTTCCTTTCCTTCCAAATAGTATTTACTGAGTGTCTCCTCTGGTCCAGGCACTGCGGATATAATAATGAACATGACACAGTCATCTTCTCCTAGAGGGAGGCAAACAGGAAGTTATATGGTGTCCCACTACCTTTCTTTGGATGAAATCTCACCCAGAATCACAACACAGAAAGCCAGTAAACCCCAGATACTCTAAGGCTCCAAAGGGCCCAGTTGATCAACCACAGATGGAGACAATCGCTCCCATTTTACTGATAATAAACGGGCTTCGAGCTGGGCTGATGTCCTCAAGGTCACGCAGCTGGCCAAGGGCACAGCTGGATCAGAACTCAGCTCTCCTGCCAGTTCCCCAGCCCCAGGGAGATGTTTGGGCACCTGACGCCCCTCTTCTCATCCATCCTGCCCATGGTCACCCACCTTCCCTGTGCAGGAGGCGGAGAATGCCAACACCGACCCTCTGCATGGCTTGCGGGTACACTCCTGGGTGCTGGTGTTGTCGGGGAAACGTGAGGTGCCTGAGAGCTTTTTCATTGACCCGTTCACGGCGCGCAGCTACAGCACCCAGGACGACCACTTCCTGGGCATCGAGAGCCTCTGGAACCACAAGAACTACTGGGTCAACACGCAGGACTGTTGGAACTGCTGCAAGGTGCCGGGCAGGGGCCTGGGTGGGTGTGGCAGTTAGAGATGGAGGAAAGGGAGACAGTGACCCGTGGGGTGAGCGGGCTACCAGGCCATGAGGACTTCAGACTTTCCCCAGAGCTGAGTCTCCGTAGCCCACTCCTTTTCCCATAAATAACCATTCTGATAATGATTATTGGCTCTCTTTTGATTTGCGTAGCCTTATAAAATGTGGATTTTTAGTTTGTATGAATGATTTTTTTTAAATGATGCCTTGAAATGCAACATACATGCACAAAAGTGCACTCGTCTTAAGTGTACAGCTCAGTGAATTTCCATAAACCTATGTATATATAAAACTCAGAGCCACTTACATAAGTTAAAAATACACACATTTGGGGGAAGGTTACCACTGGACACAAGGGGTCTTTCTGGGGGGTGTGGGCAATGTTCTATTTCTTGATCTGGGTGCAGGGAATGTCCAATTTATGGAAATTCGCTGAGCTGTATACAAATCAAAAGAGAGACAGACTCCAGGCTCCATATCCTGTGCTCTTTTGTTTCTAAGTTCCTCTATTTCCAACCAGGCAAGTTTCCCAAAGGTGGATCCTGGGCCCTTTGCCCCCTATTCCAAAGTGACCCTGTCCAAGGGACTGCTGTCACCCCCCTGTGGGAAACGGACAGAGGTGATATGTGTGCTCTCCAGTGGAAGTCATCTGTGCACGTGTTAGCCGTCCCGAGGTGGAGAAACACCTGCCATCAATGAAGGAGGAACACCTCCAGTCTAGCTTGGCCTCCCTTAGCTTGGATTCCCAGGGTCGCCTGGCCCTCACCAACCTCAAAGGGTTGTGGGAAATAACACTCAGTAGGTGCTTAGAATAGTCAGTCCCTAGCCGTCAATAAATGTTAGCTATTGTTACTCTCACCTTATAGAAAGAACTTCTCCCACACCACACAGATGGGACACAGCCGGGACTGCCCTCCCTCAGAGCCCAGGCTCATAACGGCCATGCTAGTCAGTGCCCTCTGAAGAATAATGGCCCTTGAGAGGCTGCTGCAGTGCTCCTTTGCCCCTTTTCCAGGCTGAAGATGCTGTCCTCAGCCTCCCCCTCGCAGCACGCCCTACACCAGTGCCAGGCGAAGGAAATTTATGGCAGGGAAAACAGGAGTTATGAGATGGAGATGGAAGGGTGGCCTGGTGAGAAAGTGAGGCCAGAGGGGCCGTACTGTGTCACCAAGTGAGGGCACAGAGAAGATCATGACACCGGCTGCCACTTTACTGCCAAATGAGCAGGAGAGCAGCTGCTTTGTTCCTTCAAAGAAACTTGAAATGACAACGGGGGTGGGGAGTGATGGTGAGGTCCCCACGCAGAGACAGCAAGACACCCCAGGCCCATGAGACACACACACAATGCAGAATGACCTCCACTCCCGGGCCTGTCCCAGGCCAGAGTTTCAGTCTCTCACAGAGACCAACAATGGGATTTTTTCATAGGGAGGCCGGGCAGAGGGAAGGGAGTTCCAGCCCGCCTTGGGGTCTCAGTCTCCCTGCCGAAATGAAGAGGGTGGGCATGGACTCACAAAGGCTGCCCGGGGCGAACATTCTGCCCCTCTGAGGCCCAGGCCCAGAGCCCTTCTTCACTCTGGGAGCTGCTGTTGCCCACTACCCAGCAGAACAGGAGGGGGCGTGGTGGCTTAGGGGTACGCTCAGCTGATCCCTCGCTCATCAGGACTTGGTCTTTGACCTGGGAGACCCTTTGAGGTGGGAGTACCTGCTCTTGGGGACCGATAAGCCTCACCTGTCCTTGACTGAAGAAGATGACAATGACCTGATCGATGACGATGACGTGGAAAATCTGGTGAGCCTCAGCCACCTGTGGGGCTGGGGAGTGGGGGGTGGGGTGGGGATTTCACACCCTGTCTTGCTTCAGGCCAATCTGACAAACATCCCCGCCAGCAGGCATGTGTATGGAAAAGGACAGTCCAGATAGGCCGACTACGGATTCCTCAAAGTAGAAAGGCTTGGACCATGCCCCCATTTTATAGATGGGCAAACTGAGGTCTCAACAGGCCCAGTGACCTTCCCAAGACCCCTCAGTGGGGCAGGGGAGGAGCGGGACTTGCACTCAGGTCTCCTTCCCTACACAGTCCATCCTTTTCAGAGAGTATGCCCCTGAGAGCAGGGCGCTAAGACCCCCTACACCAGTCTGAGTTCTCAATAACAACTCTGTTCTACCTCCTGAGACTTCCTGAGGACAAAATAAGACCATTGGTGTGACATGCTAGGCACAGCAATGTAGACGCGCCTGGAAATGGTATTGTGCATTCTCAGGGTCCTCAATCCCGGGGTACAGGCGCCCCCTGCTGGCCTTGAAAGGTGAACGGATTCGATGCGCAGGTGGCAGAGGTCTGAGCAATGTTTGTGGGAGAAAAGTTTTAAATTGAGAAAATCTTATCCAAGTTTCTGTGGTTACCTAGTTTGAGGACCATTTGTCTAGGCCAGGCCTTATTTTACAGATGGGGAAACTAAGGCTTGGAGAGAGAAAAGAACCAATAAAGACAGCCAGTTAGTGTCCCCAGCACTGTATATACCTTCTATCAGCTAACTCTCCCAAGGGTCTCAGTTTACAGTTAGGAAACTGAATGTCAAAGGCTAAAGGACTTGCCCAACACCCTTAGCTGGTGTTGGATAGAGGGTAGGGCTCGGGTCCACCTGATTCCAGGACCCCCTCTCATAACCAAGGTCCTGTGGCTGTGCCCGGTGCCTCTGCCGACTGAGGGAAAGCGGGGCGTGCAGAGCAAGGGTGCTCTGTCCAGCCAGGCGGGTGCAGGGGAGGTCCCAGCCAGCTGGAGACAGAACTTCTTCCCTATCTTGGGTCATGCCAGGCTAGGTCAAAGCTGCCCGTGACCTCTGGCTCCCTTGGGGGAGCTGGCAGCCACCCTGGTTTGATCCTGGGGGGGGGAGCAAGACAGAGGCTCTACCCATAACTTCTGTTCCAAGGCCCAGCCCTGACCAGAACCAGCCCGCCCCACCCCCGCCTCTCCCAACAGGACAAGGAGGAAGAGGACAGGAGCTTTGACATGCCACACTCGTGGGTGGAGCAGATTGACATCTCCCCAGAAGGTAGGCCCGTGTCGTGTTCACTGCCCCTCCTCAGGACCTGGGTGCCTGGGATGGTCTGCAGCAGCAGCGAGGCAGAGGCACACCAGCGAAGCTGGGGCACACCAGCAGAATCTGCCCTGATCCCTCGTTTCCATCCCTCCCGATTTCTGCTGCCTCTTGTCCTGTCTTCTTGGCAGACACACTCTCAGCTCTGTGGCTGAGGGCCTGACACGTGTCTGGCATACAGGAAGGGGCTCAGTGAACACACACTGGATGATGGGAGGTGGTGGGGGACCCAGGACCAGGACCCAGCCATTCCTCTCCCTCACTTCACCCTGTCAGGAGGAGGCCATGCACAGCATCCAGATGGCACAGGGGAGGGGAGATGTCAGGACCAGGGAGGGGCAGGCAGAGACAGCAGGAGGACAGGGATGCCTGTGCCCCATGCCAGCATATGCTGCTGCTAAGTTTCCGGTCTGGAAGTGCCTAGACCCACAGGGAGGGCTAGGCCATAGGTCATTCCAACACGGTGGGAAGGGCCAGAGAGGGTGTCGTGGGAACCCCGAGGAAGAACATCCAGTGCAGGCTGAGGGTTGGGGCCTGGGTGGGGGGTGGGGGGGGCAGAAAGGGCTTCCAGGAGGAGGTAGCACCTGAGCTAAGCTTTCATGCATCAGAAGTCACACCACTTAGGGCAGGAGGGGATGGTGTTTCTGGCAGAGAGACCTGCACAGGCAAAGGCCTGGCAGTGAGTGTGTGGTGTGGCGGGGCACAGGCCCTCTGGTCAGGCTCAGACCTGAGGACTCCTCCAGGGCGAGAGCCAGCCCTCGCGTCCATCCTCCTCTGCTTCCCTGGAACAGGCTTGGGGCCTGGAGAAGCTCAGCAGATAGTGCAGTGGACAGCGGCTGGATGAGGGACCTGGGAGGGGTCCCTCACCCCAGCCCACTCTGTATCCGCAGCATTTGAGACCCGCTGCCCAAACGGGATGAAGGTGATACAGTACAAGCAGGCCAAGCTGGAGAAGTGGACCCCGTACCTCAACAGGAACGGCCTCGTGTGCCGCCTCAGCACCTACGAGGACTTGGAGTGTAAGAGAGGCAGCCAGGCCTCGGGGAGCAGGAGAGTTGGGTTCCCTGACATGCTGTGTGACCTTGGGCATGTTACTGACACTCTCTCTGTGTGAGTATGGGCCCCGCTGGTCTCTGTGTGCTGGGAATCACGGGACGGAGGCTGGGGCAGCTGGCCCGGCTGCAGCCAACACCAGTTGGCCCCACAGGTACCAAGACTTTGGAGATAAAGGAGTGGTACCAGAACCGGGAGGACATGTTAGAGCTGAAGCACATAAACAAGATCACAGGCCTGATCATCGATTACTTCAAGCCAGGCCATCCCCACGCTCTGCGTGGTAAGTGGGTCCTATCGCCAGGCCAGCTAGGGGCTCCGGGGGGGGGCCTTACATGCTCCTCAGAGCAGCCTCCATGCAGCTGGTGTGTGGTGGCGGGAACCAGTACCCATAGATCGACAGGGTTCTTAGGTGGCAAGCAACAGAAACCGCCCCTGCCTCCCTAAGCAAACCAGGTGTGGGAGGTCAGGAGAAGCACAGCAAATCCAAGGAAACATGACAAATGCTCCTTCAGGAAAGTCAAAGTCAGGGCCACATGCCCAGTCTGTGGTTGGGATCAGGCACACGATGGGGCCACATTTATAGAGGGTCGGGATGCCTGAGCAATTAAACCAACAAATATGCCCCCACAGGGGCAATGCAGAGGGCAGAGGGTGTAGACACAGCCATGAGCCCAGGAGCCTGGGAAGGGATGGAAGGACATGTCTTGGGAAAGCATCAACGACTCTAACTAAGAAGTCACCAAAGAAAACATAGAGTTAATATAGCATCTAAAAAAAAAAAAGATCAACCTCACCTGGTGGTTGAAATAAAAATAAATAAATAAAATGAAATCACTAAGGGACCATCTTACAACCTTCATGTTATCAAAGATGAAAAAAAAAAATGTTCCTATAGGGAGTGAGCAAGCGTGCAAAGCAGCAGACAGTTGCTCCTCGTCACTGCTGGTAGGACAGCAAATTGGTACAACTTTTTTGGAGGGAAGTTGGGCAAAATAATCAAAACAGCCTTAAAATATGTATGCTTTTTGACCAGCACACGTATTTTACTTTGACCAATTCTATTGCTCAGATTTTGTCCTGAACAAATAATGGGCAAGAATTTAAAAATGCACGATGCAGATTTCATCATGGTGTTGTTTATAACAAAAAGGTTGCAAACAGCCAAATGCCCATCATGGGGGATTGGTTATACACCTAATGCTCATCCATGAGCATCCATGGATGTGCCTGCTCCCTGGGGTGTGGGGTCTGGGGCTGGGTTATTGAGCCAGCAGTCGTGGCTCCTGGTGCTCACCCAGCCATCTCCCAGCCCCCTCACCTCTGCCTCCCACCGCAGTGCACTCATACACATCCATGCAACCTGAGATGGACCGAGTCATGGAGTTTTACGAAAAGGCCCGTGTGGATGGCCTGATAAAGCGGGAGGAGACGCCCCAGACGATGACGGAGTACTATCAAGGACGGGCCGACTTCCTCTCCTACCGCCATGTCAATTTCGGGCCCAGGATCAAGAAGTTGGTTATGAACAGCGCAGAGTCAAACCCCCGGCCCATGGTGGTAAGCGCTCGCTGGGCCTGAGACAGGGCACCCGCCTGCTCTGGCAGGCTGGGGTTCCCCATGGATGGGGACAGCCCCGACTCAGGAGCGGCACCTTTCCCCGAGCGACCTTCTTTTCCTGTTTTACCAAACGCAAGATCCCAGGGCTGTCTGACCCCACACTGTGTCCCCCACCACTGGGCCAGCAGGGAGGTATTATTTCCTTGCTATTATAAAAAGTGCACATGTATGACTAATTTAGAAAAATATGGAACAATATAAAAAGTAAAAATATGTCAGAATGGCATCTCGTAGACATTACTATGTAATATAGGTTAGTTTTGAGTCTTTTCTGACTTAAGTGAGGGGTGTGTGTGTGTGTGTGTGTGTGTGTGTGTGTGTGTGTGTGTAGGTAGGTAGAATCCCTGTGTCACCCACTTGACAGTAATTGTGTGTTTTTTTCCTCCATGTCATTACAAATTACTTAGCAACCGTGTTTGATGACTGCATACCAAAAAACACCACTCTTTCTAGCAGTAAGAGATGTCTAGTGTCAGAGCAGGCAGCCTAGAGAGGTGATGAGCTCCCCATCTCTGGAGATGAACAAGCAGAGTCTTGTGGAGGGGGCTAGAGAAGAAATCCAGCCCTGCACAGGGCTGGAGTGGCCTGTGAGAACCTGTGGGGCCATGACAGCCATTGTCTGGCTAGGAGGGCTGCTCCACACAAACCCCCAAATGACCCCAGACCCTCAGGGGCACGCACAGACATCCCCTTTCCCATCTCCCATTCTATGCATGTTGTGGCTCCACAGAAAATCACAGAGCGGTTCTTCCGCAACCCTGCAAAGCCTGCAGATGAGGACGTGGCGGAGCGCGCATTTTTGATCTTGGAGGAGCGCTTCCAGTTGCGCTACCACTGCCGCGAGGACTACATCACTGCCTCCAAGCGCGAGTTCCTGCAGCGCATGGAGGTGGACAGCAAAGGCAATAAAATCATCATGACCCCAGACATGTGCGTCAGCTTTGAGGTGGGCCTGGGAGCCAGGCAGGTGGGGCTGGGAGGGTGGGGTGAGGAGAAGGAGCTGCGCCCTCTGCCTGCTCCCAGCAATTTAAGAGAACCGGGATGGAAACTCCTGGTTCCCAGCCTGGAAGTTCATCTGTGCCTCTTGAAAAAATTAAGAGCTCCCATCCAGGGACCCTTCTCTTTGCAGTTCCTCTGAAAATCTTCGCCTTTTCCACCAAGAAAGACAACCCAGCAGGCCATGACTGCTCTGCATTGTCTCTACCCCAGCCCTGGGCAGAGCAGACCCCAGATAATGGGACCAACACTGGAGTAGGAAAAGACCCCCTCACCTCTGCGGGTCTGGCTTTCCCTGTTCAAATCCTCACTCTCCTGTCACATTCTTCTGAGTCTCCAGTTTCTCTTAAATTATTATCTGTGTTTTTACAGATAAGGAAACTGAGGCCCAGAGAGGTTAAGCAACTTGCTTGAGGTCACACAGCTAGAAAATGGCAGGGGGAGATTTGAGCCCCAAAAGTCTGGCTCCAGAGTCTGCCCACGACCCCAGCCATTGTTGCCTCTTTGTGTCACTGTGGTGGTTGTTGTTCCAGGTGGAGCCCATGGAGTACACCAAGAAGCTTCTCTACCAGTATGAGACCATGATGCAGCTGAAGAATGAGGAGAAGGTGTCCAGACATCAAGCCTGGGAGTCAGAGCTGGAGGTGGGGTCCCATGGGCGAGTGGGCAGGCGGGAGGTGGCAGGGGTGGAGGAGGTTTTAATCATGCTCACCCCCACTTTCCAACTCAGGTGTTGGAAATCCTGAAGCTTCGAGAGGAAGAGGAGGAGGCGCACACACTGACCATCTCCATCTACGACACCAAACGCAACGAGAAAAGCAAGGAGTACCGGGAGGCCATGGTGAGCCTCTGGCTCTGGTCCAGGCCCTGACTTTTTCTTGACCTCCCCAGCTGACCACTCCCCCCGAACCCCCACAGGAGCGTGTGATGCAGGAGGAGCACTTGCGGCAGGTGGAGGCCCAGCTGGACTACCTTGCCCCGTTCCTGGCACAGCTCCCGCCAGGAGAGAAGCTGACACGTGGGCAGGCCTTGCGCCTCAAGGACGAGTGCCTCAGTGACTTCAAGCAGCGGCTCATCGACAAGGCCAACATTATCCAGGCCCGTTTTGAGAAGGTGTGGCCAGGTCCTGCGCAGGGGAGGGGACCTCAGCATCCTCATCCAGAAAATGGGCCCAGGGCCACTTGCTCACCATCCCACAGACTAGTGAGGGGGTGATGAGGGGACTCCATTGCCTGGAGTTTCCAAATAACCAAGTTGTCCTTCCTTACTCTTGTTCACTGGGTGGAAGGTGGATGAGTGGGTGGTGGGATAGGAGGGAGGATGGATGGATGGAGGGCTGGGTAAGTGAATGGATGAATGCGTGGGTGGGTGGGGGGATGGATGGGT